AAGCAACAAGAGAGGGGAAACTGGGCGGGTCTTGGACGCGGGTGCGGGTCCGAATGGCCCGGGCCAGAAACTCGATTTAATACTTCGGTTAAAATGTTCGGGCTCGACAATAATTAAATAAAAAGGATATTTATATATATAATACACCCATATAATAATATTAAATAATACACATTTATAATATTTATATATAAAACATATAAGCACATAAAATTATTTAAGCAAATTTAGACAATTAAATATAAATAAACACACAACAACAACAACAACAACAACAATAATAATAATAATAATAATAATAATAATAACAATAATAAAATAATCTAATTTGTGTTACGTACAAAATGGGTGCAGTAATCAATAATAATTACATGATGAGCATAACCTACCTAAATTTGTAGGCCAGTTAGAAGTTCAACTACCTACCTTCTCCCTTTCTGCCCCAAAATAAATACTACCTCCAATCCAAACGGCGTCGCTTTCGTCCTTTTTTCCCATCTCTAACTTTCCGATCCCATTTACAACTGGAAGCCCACTTTCCGGGGCTTGCTTCAGCTGCACACACTTCCCCTAGCCCCACCGCCTTAATATCTTCACCGTTGCTTACCTCCAAATCAATGTTCACTGGATTGAATTTTTCAATCTGCGTTGAAATAATTCGCGTTTGTGGTTATTATTTGTGTTTCAAGTTGGGATTTTGAGCAGCTGTTTGGTGCAGTTCCGCTTCGATTTCAGTTTGATGGTGGTGCAGAGAGCTATGACGGAGAACAAGAGCGTGGGCATTGGGGAGGCTTCAATGGAGAGAAGTAAGAGCTTCGTGAAGGCATTGCAGGTTGAATTCTGTTTTTAGTTTGATCAAATATGATTGCTTTTTTCTTTCTTTTTTAACTAATTTGGGTCTATTTGGATCGGATCTAAGAAGGTGGCTTTTGTGTAAAATATAAATGGTAATGGTTGTGTTCGACTTTTAGGCAGTAAGATTTTGCAATAGGCTTTGATTTTTAGTTCCTTCCATGAAAATTACCTTTTTTTTTAGGTGTAGCTTTGGAAACTTCGCTTGCATTTGTTGTTTTTTCAAAGTTTGCCGACTGGTTATAACTGCATTTGGTGTCACTCACCAACTTAGATGGTTTAGGTTGTATTTTGGTCTAATAATGTTTGAGATGTTGTTGTGCTGCAGTCTTATGAGATTGTTACCTTCTGCGTTATATGGTTATAGGAACTCAAGAACCTTAGCCCACAACTGTATTCGGCAGCAGATTACTGTGAGAAGTCTTATCTTAACAGTGAGCAAAAGCAAATGTAAGCTTTCTGTAAACTTATTATCTTACTGGCTCTGCTCGAAAATGAGTCGCTTAGTTGCATCGATTGTTATTTGTTGAAGGATGAAGCAATGTTCTGTTTTTTTCCTTTTTGTTAAAAAAAAATGAATTAATTAATTTATATGAGGTGTTGTCGTGAACTGATCTGAACCGAACAAGAAGGATAGGATTTAATGGACGAGTCATAATTATATTTAGTTTTATTTGCTCTTGAAAAAGTTACTTCGATATTAGGGTATTGGACAATCTCAAGGATTACGCTTTACAAACTCTGGTCAATGCAATCGACCACCTTGGTACCGTTGCTTACAAATTGAGTGATCTTTTGGAGCAACAGACACTGGATCTATCCTGCGTGGAGCTGAAAGTTACTTGTCTCAATCAGGTGACTTTCGAACTCATGAACTACTGGAGTTCTATAAGTTGTAATTATGAAGCTATTTTTCATATATATTTTTTTAATTTGAATTAGCGACTGCTGATGTGTCAAACGTATACGGAGAAAGAAGGTCTTAGGCAGCAGCAAGTATTGGCTATCATCCCAAGACATCACAAACATTATACCTTGCCGAGTAAGATCATTCCTGCTTCATGTCGAATTTTTGGTTAATTAATAAGATTCAAGCCCTTTCCAGTATTCTCATTCAACTTTGTTCACGTTGACTACAAGCCAGGTTCTTTGAACAAGAAGGTGCACTTTAACCCACATATACAGACTGATCCTAAGCAAGCTATACAAGCTAGAACTCGTCTTTATTCTCAAGGTGGCTGATTTTTTTTTTTCTTTTTGGATGATTGTTAGTAATGTTAGGCTTCGCAATAGTAACGAAATATACTATCTCATGTTTGACTTGTTTATTTAATGCCTTTTAATTAGGTGCTTCTGCTGCGAAAACTCTTTCCTGGCACTTAGCAGCATCTGAAACCAAGTCTACCTTGAAAGGCTCTCCACGTAATATTATAAGGTTTGCCCGAGTTTTATCCTAGTTCTGACTAAATTAAAATACTCCCATTTTTCCGGCAAGCCGGTCAAGCACACGGAGATACACACACTCAAACATAAAAATAACTGTTGCTTACTTTTTTCAGCACTGGGGATGCAAAACCATCTGGGAAGACTATTGAGGCCTTCAACTTGCTAGGTATGCAGTGTCATAATGCTACTCATGATATTGGTGATTATAAGAATTAAGAATCCAATTTGTAAGGTTTTTTTTTTTTTTTTCCGAGTAGATGGCCAAGTTAATTCTAGGATGAAATCCCCGCCGGCTTCAGCTGTAGCAATGCAGACACTCGATTTCACGCGTCAGGTACTGTTGAACTTTCTCGCAATTCACTTACACAGTAGTTGGGGAAGGGAAATCGTGTCTTTCCACATTTATTATAACACATTTTAATTGTGATTTGTTTTGGTTCTATTGGGAGGAAAGAAAGTTTTATTTTTGATTTGTTTTGGTTCAGTCATCATTTGATGAGTAGTTATTGGTCATCCCATTTTTCTTTTGGAAGTTGAGTATGCAGTATCTGATCCTAGCCTTGGACTGTTGTTGAAAGCACTGAACTATGTGGTATGATTTTAAACGGAACTGTTCATTTTGAGGATGTTCTTCAACTGAAAGCTTCTTATTTTTTTGCAGGAATTTTCAGTGGGCTCCAAACCTTTGACTCCATATCGGTCGTTTACCAACACTCCTCAAAGGGAAATTGCTCGCCCCCCAGCACGCAGTAAGAGCATGCTTTCGGCCTTCTTTGTGAAGCAAAAGTCGTCAAAAGTGAAGTCAAGCTCGTAAATTTTGAGGCAAACGACCAAATGATTCCACGTTTGCTAAAAAATGTTAGAAACCCAACCGATCGTATCAATAAAGAAGCTGTTCGTATATAATCTGGACAAAATGATTCACATTTTCTTTGCAGCGCACCAGTGTTTTGGACATGTGCAGTGAATTATGACGTTTATCACGATTAGAAGTGGTTGTCTTTTAGCATTAACATCTCATGTTTGTTAAATTTTGTTTGTCAAGCAAGTTTCAAGAGGCGAGTTTGGGGTTTTGCTAGTCGCTCGATTACAATAGCAATTCACTAATACAACGATTTTATCTGAATGGAAGTAAGCTGATAGGGTGGATGATGCATAGACTTCACTCACATACATACATACATTTGGAGATGCTCTAAAACAACAAAAATTCCAGGACCACTCTAGAAAGTTTATACATGTGCCTCTGTCCACAAGGTTACAATTTTATACAAACCAAATTGTTACAATTTTATACAAACCAAAAGAATGAAGAAAA